ATGAGTTACTGAGAAAGGGAGTGAAGGAGGGAAGAGAGATCAGGATCCGAGTGGATACTGATAGCATTATTGCTGTTGTTTTGCTGCTGCTGCTGGATTTCTTCATGGAAAGCGAGCTCTGCTTGCTTGAACCCTTTCTTCTTTAAATATGTCTCCACAAATTTCACTACTGCTTCTTCGTCCATACCTGCTCTTCCTCCTCCTCTTCTTCTTCAAGTAAAAGACCAAGGCAAAGTGCCCCTTCTTTATCTTCTTCAAAATGAAGCACGCATCTCTCTCCTTTCTCGCTCGCGAAGCTTTGCTGATTTGGGATGGCGATTGGGCTTTGATGTATCAATCTGGAGCCCAGCAAAAATATCATTTTGGATTTGGGGTTTGTTTGATAATTGGGTCCTGGATTATTGTTGGAATGTTTTTTTAAAAAAGAAAATTTTAAATTAATATTTATTTATTTTTTTGATGTTATGAGATTTTATGTCAAAGATAAAAAAATAAAAAATATTATTTTAATATATTTTTAAGTAAAAATTACTTTTAAAAACATTATATATCATAATGTTAAATACAATTTAAATCTAACTGTTAAATTTATATGATGAGTTTTTCACTATCAATAAAAGAAAAAATAATTTATTAAAAAATATGCATTAAAAATATCTAAAAAACCTTATTGCAAATTATATCATTAAAATGATAGAGTTAACTCAAAAACTTTATAATTCAAACTTTGTTTAAGCTAGATTTATCTTTAATTTATATATAAAATTGATTCTATCAAAAATCGTGTAAATTTTAGTTAGGTTAATTTAGTTTTTTTTTAAATATTTAAAAAATATTATTTTAAAATAAATCTAAATTAATATATTTAATTATGAGTTAACTTCACAATCCAAAATACAGAAATTAACTTATAGTGGAACTTTCCAGCGAGTACATAACTATAAGTATAGCTAACGAAGAATTATTCTTTTGCATGAATGGAAAAGAATGGAAAGAAGGGAGAACAACACCAAAATATACTGAAAATATGAAATAATCTTCGCGAAAATATAATCAACCTATCCAAATTAGATATGTGGATAGGTTGGGACTTAGAACTAGCTTTTATATTTTTTTGATATAATAATGAGGAACTGCTTAGTAATTGATGTTTTCTGTAATCTTAAGTTTTAATGATCAAATAATTGTTTAGATTTTACATAAAAAATTAAAATTTTTTGATCATATTTTAAAACATATCATATAATTAAAATATATTTTTTAAAAAAATCAAATTGTTTTAGATTGCAACCATAAAAATTACTATAATACTAAACTACACATACATAAATAAAAAAAAAACTTTTAGTTACGATTTTAAAAAAAATAGGTTTTAAAAATTTATATTTATTTAAAATTGTTTTGAAATAAATTTTTACATGTAAAATAAATAAATAAAAATTCTCATAAATTAAAAACATATTATTTTAGCTTCTATAAAACAAGAGTTTAAAAAATAATTGTGTGGGGTCAATGTAAAGTTATTCCAAGTAAGAATGTAAATATTTCTATTATTTATACATGTTCTAAATATAAATCAGTTTTATTATTTTATTAAACTAGTTATAATCTCATAACAAATACCATTCATTCAAGATGGTTTATGGTTTGCATCACTTTTTGATTGTATCATGACATTAATTAAAATTTCATTAAGAATAAAATTTAAATGTGAATATTAAATTAATGTTGATGATTATCTTAATATTTTCTCTTGAAGTAATTATGTAGTATAATTAATGTTATTATAATTTGAATTTTTTTTTTGTAAAATTAATCTGGCATGTTTTTAAAGCACATTCAATTATATTATGTGTTGATGAGTATGCATAATTGAATATTTTTTCTTGATTGTTTTTTGTTCTTCATGTTAAAAATCTAGTAAGTAATATCTTTCATCTTTATATGGATATAAAAATTTATATTTATTTAGATATTCAACATTTACTAAATAATATTTTACTATGAGAATAATTAATGAATTCGCAAGTTATTACATAAATTTTCTTTAAGTGGTTTTGGAAATTATATTTAAGAATTGTCAATAGCCCCTAAAAAAATAGACATATAATACACCACCTTTTCATCCTTCCAAATAAAAATGAATTATATGTTAAAGTTATATGTAACTATTATATTTTGAGTCAATATTTTTTTTTAATAATAAATAAAATTCAATTTTTTAGAGATATACAAGCAATCATATATATTTATGACATAAATTGCTCCTACACAATTCTACAGCAAATACAAGAAAACATAGACATTGTAAATATTAAACAAAAATATTCAAATAATTCATATTTAGCATTAATAATACAAAAATATATTATTATTACCTTGAAATAAAACAATTTCTTGGATTAACTCAATTTCCCATGTAATGTTTCTAAATCCAAAGTGTTCTAGTTTTACAATATCCATGGATAGAAAACACATTATTTTAAACACTTTTTAAAAATATTTATTAACAATTTCACACAAATATTGATATTTTTCTTGAAGTTTTCTATTTGAAGTATCTAATACTAATATATAAAAAAACATGATGATATTTTATTGAAAATTTTAACTCATACTTTAATTTTAAATTAATTCATAAACTTTACAATATTGTTGAATTCATTCAAAACGTATTGACATATTATTTTTAATATTTTTTAAAAATTTTATTCTACCATCTTATATCCATATGTTGTGAAATAATATAAGATTCTTTAAACTTGTAATTAAGATAATATACGAAGATAGCTCTGGATATCCATAATGCTTATATTATTATCGTTATTGTCATTTACATTTCTATTATTATTAACACCACCATTACAATTAATATAATAAACTATGCTATTAATCACATCATGATAATCTCTTTTTTTTTAAATAAATTATCTTGAAATAAAGCATTAAACTACTATAACTAAGTCTCAATTTAGTCATGAAACATTAACATCCATCACAAGCATCCTGCGTAACTTAATTCAAACTAAAAAGTCAAGAGTGCATCCTCTCAATTTTAGAATCTTAATGAGGGTTTCTCGCACACATTGTTGTTTCAAGTGCCTCTTATTTCTTCTTCTTTTTTCAAAGGATTGTTACAGTGTCATTGAAATTCCAGTAATTGAACATAAAACTACTTCCATGGCTAATTTCCACTCTCAATGTGCATTAAAAGCTCCTATTTTTCGCTAATGTTAGACTGTTTACTTTTCCCCACTTAAGCTAAAACCCTAAATAAATCCCAAAAAAACCTCAGATCTTTAAACAAAAAATGTCCAAATTAAACAGCATAAGAGCAGATAAATTCTTCACTCTTTATGCATACTTAAATTCTTAACACACTCTAATCACAAAAATTGTTCATTTCATATTGCCTATTAAAGCCATTTCTTTCTTCTGCTACTGTAAAATCAGTGCACAACTAGCTAAAACCCTTGAAGACTCACTTACTCAAGAACCCATTATTTCTTTGCCAATTTAGTACTCTGTGCTCCCAAAAAAAAAAAAAAACCCACAAAAGCATCAAGGTGAGTAAAAACTGAATTGCTTATAATTTAAACTACTAAGCCTACCTGTTTGTGATTTACAATGGGCAAAACACATTGAGATTAGAAATATTTTGCACATGGTGTCCCCTGATAATTAATTTTGTCACAAACAAGAGAAGAAAAGGACATTAAATGGCTAAAGATATATACTTGTAGATTAATTTGTAACAAAGCTCGATGGTATATGCTAATTAATTAAATTTATTCCGTGGAATCGCTGAAGCCTGTCTAAAGATCTTCGTTCGTATGTCTAGTTGTCTCATGGTAATAAAGAAAAAGGACGTTGTCTTCAACCCGCTTACTATGAGTCTATCACTGTACAATCGTCATCCCTCTCTAAATTCCAAAGATGAACCTATTGTCTTCATTTTGTGTCCAGAACCTTGTTGCTGTGCTCATTGTACTAATGCAAGGAAAAGCACTGCCACTGATTTTAACCTCCTCTTTCCTCCTCACTGCAGATTCAACAATCACTGCTAGCTCCTCGTAGCTCTAGTGGAAACGAGACGGATATTGAAGCCTTGCTAGCCTTCAAAGCAAAGATACAAGACCCGCACAGTAATACCTTGAGCTCGTGGAATGATTCTCTTGATTTCTGCTACTGGCCAGGGATCACATGTGGCCGTCGACATGGAAGGGTCAGAATTCTCAATCTAGCGGACCAAAACTTGGCAGGCTCCTTGTCTCCTTAAGTGGGAAATATTAGCTTCCTTCAAGAAATAAGACTCGCAAACAATACAATTCATGGTGAAATTCCACCTGAAGTTGGGCCCCTGTTGAGATTACGAATTCTGATGCTGACCAATAATTCCATAGAAGGCAAAATTCCAGCCAACTTGTCAGGCTGCTCCGGCCTTGCACAGCTCTATATTGATCGTAACAAGCTTGGGGTGAAATTCCTATGGAGTTTGGTTTCTTGTCAAAGCTCAAAATACTCTCTTTTCGTCAGAATAATCTCCAGGGAAAGATACCGCACTCCATCGGTAATCTTACCTCCCTTGGAAGTTTGTCTTTGAGAAGAAATGTTTCGGAGGGAACTATTCCTGATTCTTTAGGCCGGCTGAAGAGATTAACTAGTCTTCTGCTCGGTGAAAATAAACTTTCGGGTTCCATCCCTGCATCTCTATATAATCTGTCGTTGATTACTACTTTCTATTTGGGTGGCAATGGATTTCGCGGAAGTCTTCCGTCGAATTTAGGCCTATCCTTTCCCCATCTTCAATGGCTTGCATTATGGCAGAACAAATTTTCCGGACCGATTCCAGGGTCATTATCCAATGCTTCTGAGCTTGAAATTATTTCGTTTACATATAACAGTTTACAGGAAAAATACCTGATATTTTTGGAAAACTACATCATCTCTCTCGACTGCATTTCGGAAGTAATAACCTGGGAACCGGAGGAGATGATGAAATGGCGTTTTTTCCTTCTCTGACCAACTGCAGCACGTTGAAAGTTGTGAGCATCAACAACAACAGATTAGAAGGATGGCTGCCGATTACAGTAGGAAATCTTTCAAAATATATGGCTTATTTTGGGCTCTCAGGAAATCACATAGTCGGACGGATCCCTTCAGGTATAGGGAACTTAGTTGACTTAACTTTCCTACACATGGATCGAAATCAATTCACTGGTGAAATTCCAACTTCTTTTGGTAATCTACGAAAGCTAGAGCAGTTTTCACTCTTTTCCAATAGACTGTCAGGAAAAATTCCATCTTCTTTAGGAAATCTGTCAATGTTGAGTGTCCTTTATTTAGATGATAACAAATTACAAGACAACATCCCTGCTAGTCTTGGAGGTTGTGATAACTTGGTGTCGTTGGGCCTCTCTAGAAACAACCTCAATGTCAGCATACCAGAACAACTTTTCGGTACCACCTCTGTATTATTTTCACTGAATCTATCTCATAACCAATTTACTGGTTCCTTGCCTTCAACCATTGGTAGTCTAAAAGGTCTGAGTGAACTGGATGTCTCTTGTAACATGCTGTCTGGTGAAATTCCAACTAGCCTTGGAGGATGCACCAGCCTCGAGGTCCTGCACATGGAGGATAATTTCTTCCAAGGATCTATTCCTTCATCATTTAGTTCTTTGAGGGGAATTCAATTTCTTGACCTTTCTTGTAACAATCTGTCAGGCCAACTTCCAAACTTTCTTGTGACAACCCCTTTCATAAGTTTAAATCTTTCCTATAACAATTTTGAGGGGGAGGTTCCGAGGAAAGGAGTTTTCACGAACGAGAGTGCAGTATCAGTTGTTGGAAATGACAAACTTTCTGGTGGAATTTTGGAACTGCATTTGCCTGAGTGTCCCAACAAAGAGCCAAAGAAGACAAAAAATGTCTCATCTGCAATATTTATTGGCAATCACAATACCTTGTGCTCTTGTTGGAGCCATCACTGTCTCGTCTTTCTTGTTTTGTTGGTTCAAAAAGAAAAGAAAGGAGCACTCTTCTGATACTTTATTGATCCTCAAATCTCTTACGAAAGGCTCTTTAAAGCAACCGATGAATTTTCTACACCCAACTTGATTGGAGTTGGTAGTTTTAGCTCTGTGTACAAAGGAAAGATTGATGAATATGGAACACTGGTTGCAATCACAGTTCTTAACCTGCAACGCCGTGGAGCGTCTAAAAGTTTCAAAGATGAATGTGAAGCCTTGAGAAACATTCGGCATCGAAATCTGCTGAAGATCATAACTTCTTGCTCAAGCATTGATTTTCAAGGTAATAATTTTAAAGCTCTAGTTTATGAGTACATGCCTGAAGGGAGTCTGGAGAAATGGTTGCATCCTACCCAAGAAACACAGGATGATCAGCGGATCAAATCAAGTTCAGCGTCCAAACCTTCTTGAGAGAATCAACATTGCCATTGATGTGGCTGCTGCACTTGACTATCTTCATCACCTTTGCCGCAGCTCAATCATTCATTGTGATGTAAAACCAAGTAATATTCTTCTTGATAAAGACATGATTGGCCATCTTGGGGATTTTGGGCTAGCTAGAATTTTTCAAGAATTTTCAGAACCAAGTCTTGAAAGTAGCTCGGCTGGGATAAAGTGAACTACTGTATAAGCTGCAACAGGTAACAATTGTTCATTTCCATTGCCCATTCCCCTTAACATAGCAAGCATCTTAATTGAATAATTCACTAAATACTTTGTTTGATCATAAAATTGTATTGTAATAACTTCATCTCCTAGTATATTTGTCATGTAATAAGGGGAAAAAACAAAAAATCCTTTTTCAGCTATATTTACATATATCTAAACTTTCTCGAGTGACAAGAGTATGGCCAAGGAAGAGAGGTGTCAATATATGGAGATGTCTACAGTTATGGGATCCTATTGTTGGAGATGATGACAGGGAAGAGACCTATCGATGACACATTTGAGAAAGGCCCTAATCTTCACATGTTTGCCAAGATGGCCCTGCCCGACCATGTTTTGGAGATTACAGACCCAGTGCTTCTAAGTGAGAGACACTTGGAAGTTGGAAAATGCAGCAAGCACGAAGGAGTGCGTGCCTTCGGTGAAAATTGGAGTGGCATGTTCCATGGATTCACCTAGAGATCTTATTTACCTTTGTTTTTTATCCTTTTTTTTTTTTGTGTTGTGCTTCTTTTATTTTTTAATATTCTAAAGCTTAGGTTATGGTATTTTCATTTGGTAAAGAAATTTTGAGTCCATTTCCTTGGTTCATAGACTTTGAAAGGGATTCCAATATTCAAAAGCTAAGTTGTTAGAATCATGAAAGATTACTCGAAATAGAGAACGTTTTCATCAAGTGAGGATGAAGGGTTTAATCCTTAACAATAACTTTTTTCTTCTTTATTTAAATTTCTTCAAGAAGTAAATTATTTTTACACTATTTTCAGTTTAATACTTTATATTATAAGTAAAATACCTTGTGTATGCATGTGTACGTACATGTCAAGAATTTCTCTTAATTCAATTGCAAATTTAAGTATTTAATTTATTTTAGCTTATCAATTTGCATTCAATCATTTTTAAACATTTTAAATTGAACTAATTTTTAATTTATTTATTACATATATATAATCTCTTAGATTAAATTACTCCACATTTTTAATCTACATCATCATGTAAATAGCTTATCGTTATCATCATTCTTCTAGAACGAGAAAGCTTCATGGTGTTAGAGCCACCATGGATTGTTCAATCATTGAGGTTATTGGGGGGTCTGGGGTTGACGTGCCTATGTGAGCTCCACAATATTCTTGCTGTCTGGAAGACTTTTTCTAAGGAAAAAAAAATTAAATAATTTTCGTATAATTAAAAACCACGTTTAATTTTTTCGAATAATCCATTTATATCTGCATTATATATTGTGATAAATCTCTTTCTATTGTATACAAAATCGACTTTTAGCTTTTTTAAGGGGAGAATTTCCAAGGGGTACTTGGGGTTCATTTATTATGCCATGAGAAGGGAGAGGCTTTAGAGTACTTCTGGAGTAATTATTAATATTTATTTTATAAAAATTATAGGCACAAAAAAAGAGAAAAAATAAAAAATATTTTTGATATATTTAGAAATGATTTTGATATATTTATTTTATAAAAATTATAGGCACATTATAAGGGAAAAAAAATACTTTATTTTATTTTTATTTCAAATAATATTGTCAAAAGCAAGAGCAGAAATTAAAGCATATTGAATTGCAAAATAAATAAATAAAATATTGTAAATTGATTTGTTGGAAAATTCAAGGATATGCTAATTATTATTATTTTTATTGGTACAAGAGGATAGCTGATAAATTAAAAATATCCCTCAACACTGCGCAGAAGCATTTCCCAGATATCTTCATGTGTAGCCAAGACCATAATTAGTAAATTTTACTAGGAGGTTCACCGATCACAAATGCTCTGGATTATTGATTATGCAGGTTAATTAATTTTTTTTAAATAAAAATAATATTATTTAAAAAATAATCAAAATTAATTTTATAACATTAAACTTGAATTTAAGTACTATAATTTACAATTATTTAGTATATAGTTAGTTTTTTTTCCAAGCTCGATAAATTAATAAATAATATTTTTATCTAGTTTTTATTTAAAGTTAAGATTTAAATAATATCTCAATTAATTAATAAACCTTCATGATCCAAGAGTATTAATTTATAAAGATTTATTTAAAATTAATTTTTAGATTCAAAGTAATTCAAACATGGTTGCTTACTTAATTTTTAAGCTTCCTAGTATCTGGAACAACAGTTCTTTCATTGCTGCTGGATAGATTCAGATTTCCATCAGATAGTAAAATAGAAAAACTACGTTGGAGGCTGTAGCCCATGTAATTATGTTGCTGTTCTTGAGCATGAACCAAAATGTTCAAGATCGAAAACACTTGCATCAAGTAGCAGGATGCTTAGGAACTTAAAAAAAATACATGAATCAACAACTTTTCAACAGAAATGCAGCACCCAGTTGGCCTCTTGTCATGATGTAGAGTTCATCTCAACGAACCCTAATTGTACTGATTGTATTTCAAAATAGTGCGTGATGATATCTAGGCAAGGTAATCATATCCAATAATGAATCTCAAAGAATAGAAAACAGTGGTTGGGGCGATGCCTGGCTTGCTTGCGAAAGCGAGCAGTACGCATGGGACCTCTTCTGCGTATATCTTTGCTAATGCAAGAAGCCCTTGAAGTTTAATTATTGAAAAAAGAAGTGTTTTCGTTTTGTATTTTGTACAAAGACATGCAATTATGCTTGCCACCACCCTATTTATGGGATCCAAGAACTCAATTATTTCACTCATGGGGGAAGATTAGTGCAAGAAGATGCAGACAAATCAAGCAAATTAAATACATTTTTTAACTAATATATATACATAATTAAAATTTAAAAGGGTATGCTTTTATGAATACAGAAGATATTGCTCATTTCTCTTGGTATGAGGCCCCCCATCGCTGTAGTGGGAAAGAAAGGTGACGGTTATACAAAAACAAGAAAAAAAAAGTTGGCGAAGTCTGAATTTACATAATGGAAGGAGTTTTCAATTTATTTTAGTCCCTAAATAAATTATTTTTCTTCAATATACCCTTTTGTCTGTATTTTTCATCCAAACTAAAAGAAAAATCGCATGATTTACACATGATATATTGTGAGTAAAAAATACGCTTTACTTTGTATAGGGTGTCTTGTATTTTAAAGGTTGTGTCCAATAAATCTTTATATACTATTGTATCACTCATGTCCTTAAAGTTTAGTCAAGTTATTCTAGGGATGGTGGTTGATATAAAAACTAAAATTAGAAGTCTTGATAAATTAATTAGTTCACTTGAAAAAATCTAGTCCTCAAAATCCCTGTATTTTTAAATTAACCATCAAATTTTGTCTTCAAGTCCTCAAAATTTTTCATTAATTTTGTTCTATGACGGAATTTAATAATTGAATACATACATACATACATACATACATATATATATATATATATATTCAATTGACAATGAGCCTTGAAATATCTTTAGGAGCGGGTCAATACTTAACAAATAAATTAGCTGAAATGATCATGTTATGGAATCACAATTATTAAATTCCACATGATCCTCAACATGATTTTTTTTATTTTAAATTCAACTCAAAGTTTACTCGAGTTACAGGAATGAGTTTAATAATTTTAAATAATTGTATCCATGAAATATCTTGAGGCGCCGGTCATTGATCAACAAATAATTTAGCTGAAATCATATTACGAAACGGATAGAAAAGAAATATTAATCCTCTCTTTAATTACAATTAAAGTAGGTATTATTATTTAATCATATCAAGGAGCGTTGGACTTGTCCCTTTCATTATCGCTCTAATAAAAAAATTAATGATTCAAACTTGAATTAATCTTACCTTTCCTTTCAAAATTCTCTAACTGAAGTGATTCTTCCTTTTCTCCTTTGCACTGATGATTAATTAAATACTAGACAATAATGTTATTGATGTCAGAGGGAATTTCTCTTTCATTGATTGATGAGTGGATGGATTTAACTTATATAGTTTTCAAGATTAAATCTAATATAAGAGTTTTTGACAAAATAAATATTTTTTTTTATTTAGTTTGAAATTTTATTTTTTCCCTTTTGATATTGTTAGGTTTTTCTAATTTCCTTCATTTAAAGGAAACTTTTTTTTTTCATTATTCCTTATTATTGAGTTTTTCTATGTAAAAGGATTTTTTTTATCCAATACTATTTAGATTTTTTTTAATTTTTATATAAAAATGATAATAATCTTTTTACAAGTAAGCTTGAATGAATATAAATATTTTTTTTTAACAAACCTTGCCATTCTTTATATATATATATATATATATATATAACAAACCTTGCCATTCTTGCCATTCTTGAATGAATATAATAATTTTTGAGTTAAAAATCAATTTATAAAATATTAAAAAAAAACCATGTAATAGCACAGAAATAGACACTCTCAACGTCTAAAAATACAGCCCGACAAGAGTTGAACATTGTTAAAAGAATATCTCTAAGAAACCATAAATCAATAATCAAAGACTCCAATATTCAATTGTGAAGCACCGAACCCAACAGGCGTGTCTTCCCCTATAAGTAAAAATGAAAACTTGTTTATATTTCAATTCTTGCAGCCCCCGAGGAAAAAAAAATAAAAACAAAAAACCCTTGGTGCTCCTCTGTTGGCCTCAAAACAATCAACAAATTTCCCTTCTTCTTCTCGATTTTATACGACCAGCTCCTTCTTTTGACAACCCTTTTAATGGGATCCATCAAAATTAGCATCTCTTCCATCCTTTCTTGGATTCCCTTACATCATGTTGTATAGCTAAATCACCAAAGTCTCAAATTGAACCAAGAAAGAAAATCTCGATGACGAGTTGTTGAGCTTTATTCAGTCATGGAGGAGAGGCATGTTCTTTTTGGGAAGTATGAGATGGGGCGGCTACTGGGGAAGGGGACTTTTGCTAAAGTTTACTATGGGAAACACTTGGTGACCGGAGACAGTGTGGCTATCAAAGTTATAAACACAGATCAAGTCAAGAAAGAAGGCATGATGGAACAAATCCAGACAGAGATCTCAGTGATGCATCTTGTTCGTCATCCCAACATTGTTGAGCTCAAGGAAGTCTTGGCTACAAAGACTAAGATCTTCTTCATCATGGAGTATGTTCGAGGTGGAGAGTTGTTTGCCAAAGTAGCCAAAGGAAGGCTGAAAGAAGAAGCTGCTCGAAAATATTTCCAGCAACTAATCAGCGCGATTGATTATTGTCACAGCAGAGGTGTTTATCATCGAGACTTGAAGCCAGAGAATATGTTGCTTGATGAAGACGAAAATTTGAAAATCTCTGATTTTGGCTTGTCAGCCTTACCTGAACAATTGCTGCAAGATGGACTTTTGCATACTCTGTGCGGGACTCCTGCTTATGTTGCCCCAGAAGTCTTGAGAAAGAAAGGCTATGATGGATCAAAAGCAGATACATGGTCATGTGGGGTGATTCTCTACGTGCTTCTTGCAGGATTCTTGCCATTTCAAGATGAAAATGTTATGAAGATGTACAGGAAAATCTTC